TATATTTAGTTATGTATATAACTAAATATATAAATATACGACTAGATATATCTAAGTCATTAATAAGTAAACACAAAAGGAAAGATAAATATTGAAAAATTTTATTATTTGTGAAATAACAGAAGATTAAATTCTGGAAGTAATGCGAGTAGCAGCTACAGTAAAAAATTAATCTATTTTAGTTACTGTTTGTTAAAATTTATAAAGCCATTAAAATTCATAAAACTATAGTTGACCGAATCACAATAAGTACAAATCAGCTAATTATTTAATATTCCAAAATACAATAATTATATTTCAAAATTACATATAATAATTATGGAATAAAAAGAAATGTATATCAAGAAAAAATTTAAATTAAATCTTTTGTACAGAAGGAAAAAAAATTTTAACCAACCACAATATATTCCCTGTTTTGTATAACTTTCAAAGTAAAAATTATTCTTATAGGCATGGGTTACAGCAAGAAAGTCTATTTGGACTTTTCGAATTATTTGATACTATAAGTATATCATGAATAAACATAAATACATATAGATAAACTCAAGTAATTGGCACTTGCCAATTGGTCTGGAGCTTCTCTAATGAGACTACACTTTAATAACTATAAACTAGAAAAAGAAACAAAGAGAGCGACTTCAGAGAGAGCACGATTCCTTTCTGTCGAGTGGCTCTGGAGACCAAAAAACAATTGCGCGGGCGTCATTCCTTTGCCTGCGATGACTGAACGACGCGTAGCGGAATCCCGTAGTCTCTAGAGCATCATCGAAGTGGATAAAATAACAGCGGGGTTAGTTCCAGAGTAGATCAAAGCCATCCGCTCCGCGGGGGTGGCCGACAACGCGACGACCGACTGAGAGAGCAGCTCTCCTCGCATTTGTCTATACTCGAGCTCGCTCAAGTGGCATCGACTCTCAAAAAAGGAATAAAGAACGACGTCGGCGACGGGTTCATGCGTGAAACGATGCCACTGCAAACAATCTCGTAATTTGTTTAGGTATAACAATCCGTCTCTCGGTTCCATTCTAATCCTCCATTCTTATAGCGAGATTATCGTAACGTTTTAGAACATTGGCCGCATATCTGATATTCACGAAGATATTTGATAAAAGAATTCGCAATATTATATGCGAAAATTAATTCATTTCATCTAATTTTCCATATAATTAGTGTGGAGTCCTGTATATATAAATATTTTCTGCAATTAAAAATTTTGATATTACTTAAAGTTGTGATAATTTTCAATCTTGGCACTGCTGGTATATGATTAGCCGGAAGTTACAAATATGTGAGGTAGTCTTTATTTTTCCGTCATTTTCGTTCATTGTTTGGATTTCACCCTCCTGAAATCTCCTATAACATAATAGAATGCGGGATTGTAGATGATTAGCTATTAACACAATAATAGATGACTCGACGTAGATATGAAAGTCTCTCTTAAGGGAGGTGAAGACCATTATCTTTCAATCATGTCCTTTGCTATCGCATTCGAGAGCTGTCACTTTTTATTGAATATTACTTAAACTCTAATTCTATCCTAATGAACTTTTTATACTTTTAACATGACAACAAAGTATTTATAAAATAATAAAATAAAATCGGTACGCTTTACGTACAATAATAAAATATATTATATTATTAAAGGCAGATATAAATAAAGAACTATTAAAGATTATTATAAAAAGCATAAATTATTAAATTAATTGACTGCCATCTACCGGATAGATAATTAATAATAAAACAAATTTAACGTGAGTACACATGTTTACACACATTCACATACACGCACGCACGCACGCACGCACAGGTTTATTCAATGATTGTTTATATAATAATACGAAATTAATATTGCATAAAAACACTTAGAAAATATAAAAATACATGAGATTCTTTGTATCATTTATACATTATTTTTGTACTGATGGTTCTAATTGCTGGTATATTTAATACAATGCATATTTATTTCTTCACTGAAGACTTTTATTTCTTTTGTTACC